ATCTACTAGCTGCTGCAATAAGTTGCCAGCTTATTTGTAATTTATCACACCCTCCCTGGTGGCCTTAAAAGAGATGTGGTACCACAGTGTCTTCGTGACAAAGAACATACCCTCTTACGTTTTACCTGGGTCTCTCAAAGGTGCGTAGGCTTTGCTGGGATGAGTCAGGATATCCCCGCCCATAAAAGGGCTGGAGTCCCGCCTCCTGACACACTCCTAAAGTACCTAGAAGTAACGAAGGGCCGGGCAGGGGTGGGGCGTGGGGGCTCGAGGCAAGGAAGGTATCCTTTACGTATTTGCTTCCAAAATTAAATCGCCAAAAACAGAGGCCAATGTAACATTTTTTACAAACCCGTTGCGGCCACTTCGTTGAGTCGCTTGGGGAAAGAAGATTCTATACGTTTGGCGAGATCACGGAGTTGTCCTAGCTGTACATTCTGTCCTTCACGTTAAAACTATACTTGTGTCTCTGGCCGGCCCCATGCTCCTTTCTTGGTTTGCCCACCGGGGCCCACATTCCTGTAGTTAAAAATAAGAAAGGGTGATTTAACTGTAACATCTATTTCAGTCATCGGTTGCTACATAACAAAGCTCACCCAAAGCTCAGTAGTGCATGGAAACCGTTTTTTCTAAGTCTTTGCCACCTGTGGATTGCCTCAGCTCATCTGGGCATCTTCTTCCTCTGGCCTCCCTTAAGTTAGTCAGATGCTGGCAGGGCAGATGGAGTCAGCTGTCGGTAAGACCGAGCTCCCCAACTTTGACATGGAGTCGCAAGGTCGCTCCTCTCCGTGGGGTCTCTCCAAATGGTCTCCCCACCTTGGTAACTGCACTGCTTACCCCCTAGGTAGCTCAGAGCTCCCAGGAGCACAAGAAACAGCCTGCGGGGCTCTCTTAGGGGTTGGTCCCCTGGCTGACACTGCATCACGTCTACTCCATTCTGTTGGGTTAGAGCAGCAGGTCCAACCCAGATGGTACAAGCAGCTTATACGAGGTTATACACACCCAAGGTACGGTTCAATGGAGGCCAACCCTGGGGACTCACACCCGCCATCACAACTGCACAAAGGCAAAAATCATACATTCACGTTGGCAGGGCATCATGGGTTCTTCCTTTTATACTTTGAGAAAGAGACATACCCCTCCCCACGTTCCCTGATTCACCTATCTCAAGTAACTCGGTAACGTGAGAGAGTTCTTGGCGTGGCTCTTTGTGTTTTCAAAGGACAAACCTGTTTGGTTTGGGTTTTTTGCTTCCATGCTTGGGTGCCGTGCTTCCCAACAAAACATCACCATCATGGCTGTTAAATCCGAGGGTTTCAGATTCCCACAACCCCTGGATGGGTTGTCAGGGGTCCCATTGCCTACAATTGTGTCTAAAATGTGTGTGTGCGCGCGGGCGCGCGCACTCGCTCCTGGGGAGGAGTTTCCTAGCTTTCCTCAGACTATCCTCTAAAGCGATTTCAAATTGCCAAGACCTCTAAGAAGGCTTACAACTCCGGGAGCATGGCCCTGCATTTTTACCTGCTGTCACGCCTCCCCAGTGGGGGAAGGGCAGTGTGTCTTCAACCTTTCATGTATGTTTCTTTTCCTTTCTTTTTTTTTTTCTCCCCCAGGGAGTGTGCACGCTCATGCCTGTGCATGCACAAGCAGGGGAGAGGGGTGGAGGGAGAGAGAGAATCCGAAGCAGGGTCCACACTCGGCGCAGAGCCTGACCTGGAGCTTGGTCCCACCACCCTGGGATCAGGAGTCGGGCATTCAACGGAGTCACCCAGGTGCCCATGTATTTCTTTCTACAGTGAAACAAAAAGCAGTCACCGTCTGGCCCCTGAGACCACTTCAACTGAAGTCTGCCTGAGGGAAGAAAAGAAATGGGCTGGATGCCTCTGCTCCCAAGAATGATTGTGAGAACGAACTCTCCTTTGTTGGGGTTAAAGGCATTGGAATTGCCTAAGAATTTTAGCTCTTATCATTTCTCCACCTGTACCTGGTAAATAGTGGAGAATGTAACTTAACGGGACTTTTGATTCTTCCGCCATCCCCTTCCACCCCCCTCAGCACTCTGCTTTTCTCCTTTCTTCTTTCCCCTATTCGTCTTTTTTAATCTTGTAGGATGTAACAGCCGAGGGTGCTACTTAGTCTCCTTGGGCCAAGTGTGTGCTAAAATGCCTAGTGTGATTTCAACTGGGGACACTGCCTTGAACCTAAGTGAGGCCCCTCTGCTCACTTTATCTAGTAGGAACTGGGGACATCCTGGGGAAGGAACTCAGACTGGAAGCGGGACCTGTCTAGGGTCAGAGGAATAAAGAATGTGGAAAAGGGTAAAATACTAGAAGCAAATAAATTGGATTAGATGGTAGATATAACCCAGGAGTAGACTGCAGAATTTCACATTTTTTTAAATGTTTATTTATGTTTGAGAGAGACAGAGTTGTGTGAGTGATAGAGCACACAAGCAGGGGAGGGGCAGAGAAAGAGGGAGACAGAGAATCCCAAGCAGGGTGCAGGCTCTGAGAGGTCTGCACAGAGCCCGACACGGGGCTTGAACCCACAAACTGTAAGATCATGACCTGAGCAGAAAGTTGGACCCTTAACCAAGTAAGCCACCCAGGCCCCCCTAGAATTTCAAATCTTTCATGTAACCTCTGTTATGCTTAACAAAATAGACTCCCCTTTCCTTGCTGAAACTTTCTGTCCAGAACATTCCTGGCATCCAGGGGCCCCTTGGGATAAACATCCACGTTGCCATTTCTCGAAGAATCCGGCCAGCCACTCAGCTCAGATATCCCTCTTCAAGATAAATGCTTTAAATTATTCTCCTACCCCTTCCTTTCCTCCGTAGTGTTTATCAGTATCGAGAATTACATAGTTTCTTACCACCAACGTGCAAGTTCTTCCAGGGCCCACAGATACAGCCTGGCGCAAAGGAAAACAGTGAACAAATATGCTTTAAGGACTCGTATGGCCGCGCTTTCAACATATACATGGCAGGTGGGGGCTCCAGCACCTACTTTCTTCATTGGGGATGGGGAGGGGGGTGTGGGGAACAGCACTGCAGCTCTCGGGCTTGACCAGACTCAAGCTTGGTACGAAATGTCATTGATGGAACACCTGGCACGCGAAATGCCCAACGAGAAAGTCATCTGTATCCACTACGTGTCAATCTGCAAAACCTGATGGGCAGGGCCACTGCAGTCAGCCCCTACCTTGCCGCCCTGTGACAGAGTTTCTTCCCTACAAGGGCAGGACAGTGATACCCTAAGACTGTAGCTTTAGTTGTACTCAAGAGCAGCACACTACATGTCACTCTAGTTCTCTCCAAAGTTTAAGCATTGCTGTGTCAGGGGGGGCCTGGGTGGTTGTCCGGTTAGCTCCTTCGGCTCAAGTCATGATCTCACAGGCAGTTCCTGAGGTTGCCCCGCATCGGGGTCTGTGCTGACAGCTCGGAGCCTGGAGTCTGCTTCAGATTCTGTCTCCCTCTCTCTGCCCCTCCCTCCCTTGTACTGTCTCTCAAAATTAAATTTTTTTTAACGTTTATTTACTTTTGAGACAGAGGCAGAGACAGACAGGGGAGGTCAGAGAGATAGAGAACACAGAATCTGAAACGACTCGGGCTCCGGGCTCCCGAGTTGTCAGCACAGACCCCGATGCAGGGGCTCGAACTCAGGAACCGTGAGATCATGACCTGAGCCACCAGAGCACTTAGTCTCTCTCAAATTAAATAGAAAAAAAAAAAAGTTAAGGTCACAATGCTAAATCCTTTAAAGAAAGCTGGGGGCAGGGGGGGGGGGCACTTTGGTTGCCCAATCTGTTAAAGTTGCTGGATCTTGGCTCAGGTCAGGATCTCACCATGACCCAGGCAGACTGTGGTGGGTCGCCAGCTGGGAGACTTCTTGGGATTCTCTCCCCTCCTCCCCATACTCTTAAATAAACATAAATGAAGTCACAATGCATTTCTTTGGATTCGTTCTTCTTCAGATTATTTTCAACGTTTTTTATTTATTTTGGGACAGAAGACAGAGAGCATAGGAACGAGGGGGAGGAGCAGAGGAGACACAGAATCGGAAACCCAGGCTCCAGGCTCCTGGCCATCAGCCAGAGCCGGCGCGGGGCGCGAACCCACGGACCCGCGAGATCGTGACCTGGATGAAGTCGGACGCTTAACCGGCTACTTGACGCCCCTCCTTCAGATTATTTTTAATGCAGTAACACTACTTCCCAAGGTGTAGATGTGTGAGAAGCAGGCAAATTCAGTGTTGAGAGGAGTGTGCAGACTCTTGGTGACACGTGAACAAAACTTCAAAAACCTCTTTGGGCAGGTCTCAAAGAGTCAGCTAGAGACAGCAGAATTGCTTGGATGTTCCCCTCTGGTGGCGATATACCAAATTAAAATTCCTATGGTGTTAAAGATTGACCATTACTTTTAGAAGCTCAAATCACGAAGTAAAACATAGGCTCATGCCAGGGGTTTTGTCCTTGTAACCAAACCTTAACTATCAAACGTTAAGTCTTTTAAGTTTCGTCCTTGAAGTCAGTTCTACCAAAAAAAACGAGGAGGAGAAATTCGCGGAGCTCGGCACCTTGAATCTCATTAACATGTTTTAACGCTGCCCATGCTTAACATTCATCTCAAATTGGCTTTGTGACAGAACCAGCAGAGTGAGAAGGGATTCCAGATTTTATTTATTTATTTTTTTTTTTTTTTTTTTTAAGATTGAGGAAACACACCCGAGGCAATAGTTTTGATCAATCGGTTCGGCAAACGGAGCAAGTTCCTCGGGGACATACTCAAAACCGGTCCACTCAGACACAGGAAGCAGGGCTTTGACCAGGCAACCGTAAGGCAGCCAGATCGGAACAAATCTGAAAACAAACGTCCATTTTTTCTCCTCCCCCCCCCACCCCCCACCCCCACCCCCACCAAGTGAGCAGACAAAATAAATTACCATAAATTACGTCTAGGCAACAGAAACAAAACAGAGCAGCGTGGGCTGCGGGTGTCCTCAGCTCCTCGGGAAGTAGCTGCTGCGCTTCCGGCCTGGGCTATAAGGTCGGATCGGGGGCAAGCCAGACGTCAGGATAGTTGCAGTAATATACCGCAGAGCTGGCGTCGGAAACCGCCGAGGGAATGGCCCCGTGGCTGGGAGGTCACGCCGAGTCAGGCCCCTGTTGGGAACCCCATCTCGAGGCTTACACAAGTGCAGATATATTCAAATTCAGTGGGATCACCTCCCCGAGGAGCTCGGCAGGGCTGGCTCGGGTCCGCGCCGTCACTGACGGGGCAGCACCCTCAGGAGGGGGCAGCTGCCCGAGGCCAGCGGGGGGCTGCGGGGGGGGGCTACATGCTGGGGAAGCCACGCGCCTGCGCCCGCAAAGAAACTAGAGCGTTGTAGTACAGCTGCAGGGCGCTGGGGGGCGCCACGTGGCCCGGCAGGGCAGGGCCCGCCTGCTCCAGGCCGAGGCGGGAGTGCACGGGGCCGACGGGCGGCTCGGGGGGGCCCCGTAGTCGAGGGAGCCTGCAGGTGGCACAACAGGGGCAGTGAGCAGTCCCCGGGCAGCGGCGCGGCGAAGAAGGCCGGGTCGGGCTCCACGCCGTCCAGCGGGGACGTGTCCGGCGTGGGCAGCGGGTAGCCGTCGAGCGGGGGCGCGCCCAGTCCCTGGCAGTCGCGGTAGTGGGCGCCCAGGTGAGGCGGCAGCAGCGGCGGGCCCGCGGGGAAGCCCTGCTCGGGGAAGGGCAGGCCCAGGCCGTCCATGGCCACGCGGCCGCCCTCCGGGCCCAGCGAGGCGGCCTGCGTGTCGGCGAGGCCGTGCAGGAAGCCGCCCTCCACCCGCTTGAGTCGCTTCACCTGCTTGCGCCTGCGGGGCCGGTACTTGTAGTTGGGGTGGTCCTGCATGTGTTGCACGCGCAGCCTCTCGGCCTCCTCCACGAAGGGCCGCTTCTCCGCCAGCGTCAGCGCTTTCCACGACTTGCCTGCGTGGGCGCAGAAGTGGGGGGAGAGGGGCGCGGGGCTTACTCTCCGAGCTCCCGCTCCCGGGCCCTCGCCTGGCCCCACCTCTCCCCTCCGACCCCTACTTGTGCAGCTAGAGGGAGGAAGAGGTCGCGTGGAAGGGTCAACGTCTGCGACCCCGGAGGCCGAGCGGCGCGCGAACCCTTGGGGAAGCCGGGAGAGCGCGCGTCCTCTAAAAGGGCATCCCTGCCTTCTGGTAGCCTCCTGGAAGCAGGGCCCTAGATCACCCATCCCCGGGCTTTCACGGAACTGAAAACGTCCCCTCCCCGGGGAAGGGGTCGGGAACCGGCAGGACCAAGCCGGCTTGGCTCCCGGGATACCCTGGCCGCGGCCGGGACGCGCGGGGAAGCCGCTTCCCCAGGGTCGTCGCGGCCGCGCCCCCGGTCACCCGGGTGACCCGGGCCCGGACGACAGAGAAACCGTTTGGAGGGTAGGGAGAGGGGCCTAGGCGGGAGGGGAACGGACGCTGGCGGCCGCACACCACTGGTCCGGAGCGCCGGGCACGCGCCCTCCTGGGCTCAAGGAAGCGGCCCCGCGACTCGCTCCACCCTGGGTCCCGCGCTCGGACTTACCCAGCATCTTGCTCAACTCGGCGTTGTGCAGGTCCGGGTTCTGCTGCGCCAGGCGCTTGCGCTCGTCCTTGGCCCACACCATGAAGGCGTTCATCGGCCGCCGGATGCGAGACTCGCCCTTGGCCCGGCCCGCCGCCCCGGCCGGCGCCCCGCTGCTCGCCGCCGCCTCGCCCTTCACCTTCATGTCCCCGAGGGGACTCAACGACTCGGCCCAGGGACAGGGGCCCAGCCCGGCCATCACCGCGGGCAGCGCGCTGCGGGGCTGGCTCTGGTCGTCACTGGCGTACCCCGCATCCGGGCTGCTCATGGCGCTCCAGCCCTGCCCCTCGCCCCACCACCCTCCGCCGGACACGCCGCCTCCCCCGACGCGGGGGAGGGGGTGGGAGCGTGGGACGCAGATGCCCTGCGGGCCGCTCCAGGCTCACGGGCCCGAGCCCGCTGCGACGTCGCGGGGCGGCCCCCAGCCCACCGCGCAGACCGCGTCCCCGCCGGCCAAGTGACACTGCGGGCGCCCCGGGCCCTTTTCTGCACTGGTGTGGCCAATGGAGTGGCGGGGGCGGGCCGGGTGAGCGTCCTTTAGGCCCACGCCCAGCCGGCCGCCGGAGTCCCAAGTCTCCGCTCAACCCCACGCCCTCCCTTTCCCCTCCCCCGGCCCCGCGCCCAAGGCTACACCTGCCCGCGGGAAAACTGGCTGAAGCCGGGCCTTGGCGCCACGTTCCCTGCTTCTCGGGAAGAGGGACTCCTGAAACACCGTCTGGAATGTCCACTGCACCGCTGGGTAGATGAACGTGGCCACGGCAGTTCGGATGAACAAACTGAGCTTACGCTATTATGGAAGCTAGGGGTTTCAGTGCCGGGTGACCTCGCTATCTTCCAGGGGAACCCCGCGGGTGTCTTCTTCAAATGTTTTTATTGAATGCAGTAGGTACTGCTGATCATACGTTAAAAAGTTTATAAATAAATAAAAAGGTCCTCCCCAAGGACTCAACCTGCTTGCTGTGTTTATTACACTCAAAATGCTATGTCCGAGGTGAATTCTAATTGCTAAAACAAGATAAAATACGGAGTGACATTCTGTAGCCAATATTCCGTCATCCCGAAGAATTCAAAACCTTTATTCATAACGACGAAGCAACCCTTGAAAATCTGTACACGAAAAGTACGAGAAACATAAAGGTTTTCTACGTGTTCGGTAAAAGAGGCAAATTGTGGTAACACTAGAGGCAATATGTATCTAAATGCCCGGCTTGTGGAGCAAAGAGCAATCCGTTGCACAGCAAAGTAACTGTAGCTCTTGGGGGATTCCTATACGTTTCTTTAGACTGAAATGAAACTCTGAATGAAGATTAAACTCGTGTTTAAATGTGAAATCTTTTCAGTGGGATTTTTAAACAAGCCCTTACGTTACGCTTTCGTGGCACAGCCCTCCACACTTAGCAAACTAGTTTATTCTTGTAACTCTGGGAGGTAGACACTTTTACAAGATAGGAACCGGAGACACAGACAGGTGAAGGAACTTTCCTGAGATCACAGCCGTTGAGGCGAGGAATGCATCTCCAGGAGTCTGCCCTGATTTTGAGCTCTTTGATCGCTAAACCAAACTGTCCGTGTTTGTGTATTTGTTTGTATGTTTGCGTTGTTTTTAAAAGGCAATTAACAGCCATGTCTACCGAATTCCATAACTTTCCAAAGAAATTAATACATCAATCTCCAGAACAGTTGTTCTTTGTTTACCGTGAAGGTTTGAAGACAGCTGAGACTTACATCCGGGATCTGGGAGGTAAATCTGCAGCTCTTTGTGTGACATTTAGAGTAACAAAGTCATCTGTCAAGTCTGCTTATTAGTGGCATCCATAAAAACAAAGGAACGGGACGCCTTAGGAAACCCCTGGTCTTGAGTTTCTCTGACATCGCTACCTGTCCCCCACCCCACCCCCCGCCCCCCAAATCTCCTTCACACTTGTTGTAAGCCCTCTTTACTTTGACTCTGTGAGGATCTGTGAAATGTTGGCTGCCCTCCCTCACTGTTACCAGCCAGTCTTCACACGCGGGATAAATTAAGAAAGTGGTTCTAGTTCCTGGGTCTCTCTGAGGTTCAGCCCAGAAAAAAAAATGTTTAATCGGCTTAGGAAAATCATAGAGAAGTGTTTTTTTTAATGGGTGGTTTTGAAGCAGCTGGTGTTAAACAAATTTAACTGGCTGTGCATCTTTCCTTTAAATCTTTATTTTTTCTGAAATAAACGTGGGCTTGAAAATTAAGCATAAGTGCATTGCAAATGGTTAGATACATAAGGAAACTATAGGAGCAGAAAGAACAAATTCTATAAATTTCTAAATTCTAAAAAACCTATAGGGCCTTGCTTCTTGTTTTCTTGGCGATCTCTAATTTTTCTGGGTAATGATAAATATCTTTGCAGAGATCTCAAAACATATTTTCTATGAGTGCAAAAGTTTTTATGAACTAGTAGGAATTTCCTTAGACTAGAGACCGAAAACTACGCAAAGACAATGTCCATTCCAGAAGCTATTTTATCCGTCTAGATTAATCTATTTGATTAGTTCTGTAAAAATATAATAGTAATAATAATAACTTTGGGTACAGGAAATTGAATCCGGGTGTGAGTCCGAAGAGAATGTATATGCATGGATTTACCCTTGTACACTTTCTTCGACTTTGTATTCTTCCTGGCCCACACCATTCCAGGGAGAGGTGCTGAGAGAAACTCATGGGGGGGGGGG